TGCCAGTTTGAAAAAGAGCTATTTACCACCACCCTTTGGGTGCGGCCTGCCAGCCAATTCCTCACCCACTGCACAGACCACTTGTCTAGGCCATAATGCATCAATTTCTCCAGGAGGAGGCTGAGGGGAACTGTATCGAAAGCCTTGGAGAAGTCCAGGTAGACAACGTCGACCGCTCGCCCCATGTCAACCGAGCAGGTCACTTTATCATAGAAGGCCACCAGATTTGTCAGGCACAATCTGCCTTTTGTGAAGCTGTGTTGGCTTTTTCCAATCATGTGCTTCATTTGACTCCTGATGGCCCCCAGGAGGATCCGTTCCATAACTTTCCCAGGGATTGAAGTAAGACTGATGGGCCTGTAATTACCCGGATCCTCCCTTGAGCCCTTCTTGTAGATAGGGGTAACATTTGGCTTCCTCCAGTCCTCTGGGACGTCCCCTGATCTCCACAACTTCTCAAAGATTATAGAGAGTGGCCCCACAATGACATCAGCCAGCTGTCTCCACACCCTTGGTGGATGGCATCAAGGCTCATCGATTTGTAGGGGTCAAGCTCCTGTAATAATTCACATACTAACTCCTTCTTTGCTGATGGTGGGTCTGTGTTTGGATCATCCATGACATCAACCAGCTCCTTCAGCCCTGGTGGAGACAGCCCATCAGGTCCCATAGACTTATGTATGTCCAATTTAGTTTAAGTGATCCTTCTCTGTTGAGGGTAGGTCTTCCTCACTCTAGACTTTGCCACTCATCTTAGGGACCTAGGATTCTTGAAGGCAAGTCTTACCAGTAAAACCAGAACTGAAGAAGTAATTTTCCATGTCCTTTGTCACCAGATACACTGCCTCATTCAGCAACAGTCCCACCGTTTCCCCAGTTTTCATTTTGCTGTTAATACACCTAGAAAAGCCCTGTTTTGTTACCCTTCCCATCCCTTGCCAGATTCATGTGAAGGTGCGACTTAGCTTTCCTAACCTTGGCTCTGAAATAACTTCTGGGTCACCTGACTCTTCTTCTACCTCTTCTGTGCTTCTTTTTTGGTTTGAATTTTGTCAGGAGCTTCTTGTTCATTCATGCAGGCCTCCTGCCACCGCTGCTTGACTTTCTGCATGTTGGGATGGACCGTTCTTGGAGGAGGCGAGCCTTGAAATCAACCTGTTTTCCTGGACTCTGCAGGACCATCTCCCATGAGATTTTTCCAGGAAGATCCCTGAAAAGGATGAAGACTGCTGTCTTGAAACCCAGGGTTGTCAACAAGACAAATAGCATGGATCCTGAGAGAGCATCCATGCTCTCAGGATCCTGAACTTCACGATCTCATAGTCAGTGCAGACAACCCTGTCCTGACCATTGCATCCCCAGCTGGTTCATTCTTTTTAGTATCAGGACCAGCAGAGCACCCCCACACACACACGCACATTGATTCAGCTCATCTGTGCCAGTAATTTACCATTGTGCACTCCAAAAATGTCCTGGATTGCTTATGTCCTGTTCTGTTGCCTTTCAGCAGATGTTGGGGTCATTAAAGTCTCCCATGGACCAGAAATCATACTGATGTCTCATGCAGATATGAGACTTCTTTCAGTTGTCTGAAGAAGACCTCAACTACTTCTTCCTGATTAGGTGGTCTGTAGCAGACACCCACACAATGTCAACCATGTTGGTCTACCATTTAATCCTGACCTATAAGCTCTCAGCTGGAACATCATCTGTCCCATAGTGGACATGATTCCATGCATTCAGCTGCTCTGTCTCCCTTCTCACCTTCCCAGTCTGTCGCTCTTAAAGAGCCTGTATCCAGCTATTGTGGCATTCCACTCATGTGAGCAATCTCACAGCACCTCTTCGATCCCTGTGAAACCATAGCCATGCAACTGCACACTGACTTCTAATTCCTCCTGTTCATTTCCCAGGCTGCATGGCAGTGTACAGGCACTTCAGAGAGGCTCTCTGTCATGTTAATTTTCCAGAAAAGGTATAAGACCTTCCCCCATAAAGCTGCCTCTCAGTACTTCCTTTTTTGTGTGCTTACACTTGGGGTGGGCCCCTTCTTCTCTGTTTTATTGGCTGAATATGAGGTCTTGTCCGCACCACCCTGCATCTTTTGTTTACCAACTCGGTCCACCACTTCTCCATGTGACTGTGGGTCATCATCTCTTTCGTCTAACATTCTTAGCTTAAAGGTCTCCTCACCAGGTTGGCAAACCTGTTGGGAAAGACGCTTTTGGCCTGGTTTGTCAGATGGATTCCATCTCTTCCTAGCAGACCTCAATTCTCAAAGAGGGTCCCATAGACATAAAAGCTGAAAACTTATCATTGACACCAGTTGCACAACCAGTTGTGGACCTGAAGGAGCACTTCTCCTCAAGTCCTTATTTGCACTGTTAGAATTGAGGCAAAAAAAACACCTGGCACACCTTGCTGTTGATCATCATCCTAAGAGCTGTGCACGCTTGATATGCTCTAGGTCTCATTGGTGCTCACATGGAAGAGCAGCAGTAGTAATCCAAGGCTGGTCTAAGGGCTGGACAAAATGTCAGCAGCCTCTCCGCAAGGTCTCAGATCCAAACGCCTAGACATCAGGTCAGGTCAGCAGATGGGGGCCTTTGTGCCCTGCAGGAGAGAGCCTTCCACTACTATCACTTGTTGCTTCCTCCCAGTGCCTAATTGTGGCTCAGGACCAACTGGTTCTGATGCTTTGTTGGACAGAACTTCCTGCCCCTCATCTACAATGAAGGCACTGAATCTATTATGTAGCTAGAGATCTGCAAGTGGATCAGAAGCCTTCTTCCTGTTGCCAGAGTCACAAGTTTCCAGCCTTCACCATCAGAGAAATCTCCACTTCCAAACCTGATAAGTACAGACTCTGCCCCTCCTTTCAGTACAGTTGGGGATTTAGACTCTTGTACCTTCAAGATCTTGGAGAAGATCCAGTCAGTCTCTTCCTCATGTCCCTGATGCTGCAAAGTCTGCCAACCTCCTCTAGCAGCTCCTTTACTTGTTGACACAGATCCTCTACAACTGCACGCGTCCTGCAGGCAAGGAGGCAACCTCCCGCTTCCCAGCCTCAGCAAGAAGCCCGAGGTACTCCCTGCACTCCCTGAGCTGCACCCTTCCATCAGGAGCTCAATCTGATTTGAGGTCTCTGATGTGTCTTCAATATTTCTCTTAGGTGTCCTTCCAAGTCAATTGTTCCTGTCTTCTCCCATTCTTGGATTGAACTTCTGAATGTTACACTGGCAAGATGTAATTGGCAGATAGAAATCTTCTGTTTATGTATACGTCCCACAAACAATTACTAGAGTAATGGAAATAGATATTGTTTGTTATGTGGTTTGTGAAAACTGCCACTGATTTCACATTGTTGGCCTTTTTACATCCAAGTCTTTAAGATCCCATCCTCTTGGGTCACATAAATATTAGTGTCTTCTTTAGAATTGGTCTACAGTCAACTTTTTGATGGTAAATATGGTCCACTGTGTATTTGTAATTCTTTCCAGGAGTGTATTTACTGGAGGCTATTGGGCTATATGTTCCCATTAATGCAGTCTGTGCATTCAAGTAACATGCCAGAAATTACTTGGCTTCTAATGTCAGTTGAGTAGCTGTTCTGCTGGCATCTGTGCTCAAATATGCAAGAGAACAAAAGACCTAACTTAGCAATAAGGTAGTTTCCATGTGTGGTTGGATTAGTTTGCAGCTCTCATAAATGCACTAAATTGATGCACTCATGAGGATTACCACTGTACAGATAGCTAATATAAGCTCTGTGGAGAACTCATATGTAAGGATCTAAGTGGGGCAGAGGTTTTGAGTACAGGTCTTTAGAGAAGTGGGTAATACCTATGGCACTTAACGAGATTATACAATCTTCTGAGGAAAGGCAGAGGAATATGATCATGAGCAAGTGGGAGGGGGATAAATAACTAATAAATCAAAGATATTATTGTTGTTGTTGTTGTTATTATTATTATTAAATAATTGCTGAAATAAAAATAAATATTACCTCATGAATTCCAAAGTGAGCATAAGAATCAAAGTAATAATCCCTGGATGTCATCTCTTCTGGATTGATGAGCTTTGCCATCTTTCCTCTGCCCGGGCAGCTTGGTTGCAATGGGACATGTATGACAGATTGAACTGGCTTTGGAACAACAGTAGGCTGAGGAGGCTGGGATGGGATGGGGCAAACCTAGGAGAACATGGAATATTGTTAAGAGGCATCATTAAAAGAAAACATTTCTCTCTATGTCTAGCATAGTGATATTATTGTAACTAGCTAGGAGACAGTAAGATCAAAGACACCTGGGGTATCATAAGTGAAACTTAGGCTGCCTTCTGTTCCTGGTTCTTTAACTTATTTACTGTCTCTTGGAAAATTTCTTTAATGGCTTTTTCCTTGATGTTCCTCTGCAGATACCTACATCAGTGCAAAGTAATGGCAAATTGTTGGTGTTGGCTGAAGTGGGTGACTCTAAATATTGACACAAGGCAGTTAAGAGCTAGGTTTTCTCCTTTAATGTCCTTCCGTCAAACTGCCACACCTTTGTGAGAGGTAAGTTGTAATAAATAAATAGTTCCCCTGCAAAGAAGAGCTCACAATCAAAGGCTTTTGAACACAGTGTTGCCAACAAGAAGGACAGGATTCACAATTGATTCTTAGTTGTCAGGTAAAGTATCTGGCTGTATTGATGAAGTAGGTCTGAGAATGCTCACAATATCTGAAAGTCTCTCAGCATGTCCAGAAAGCACTGTAGGGAGATGTGTGGGATACGTGATCCCTTAATTTAGTTTTCTGTTGTTGGGAGATGCACGAGTTATGTTACCCATACCCCCTGGCCCACTGCACTTCATTTTCCTTGCGTATTGCATCGCCAACACCAAAATTTCAACAGAGACAGAATGCTCACACCCTCTTGACTCAGATTTGACACCTGTAGCATCTAAGACAAAAGACAGAACGTTTCACAAACATGAGACAGAGACCATGGTCTGGCCCATAAGTACATCTACAACTTTCATATTTAACATGAAGCAAAATGCTGAAAACTGAGAAAGACTGAGAAAATGCTACAGCTTCACATGCACACTAAGTCACCTGCAAATTATGGGTCAAAAACTTCATATATTAAGAAGGTCAATCCAACTTAAAATATGTCACCTCCTCTTTTACTTTTTTTTTATTTTCAGATTTAGTAGTTGCCCAGTGGGGACCAGATTTGCCTGAGTCTCTCCTAGATTCCCTTATACTCACTCTGAATAGCATCAATTAGCCTAGTTCAGCTAACTTCAATATAAAAAAAAAACCAACCAAACCCCAACACACTTTTTCCCTTGTTCATTTGAAGATTTAAATGTGTCATCTTTTGGTGGTTTCTTTGGTCTATCTGTGAAAAATTAATACTAGTGGTTTATGTTCCTGTAACACTTTTCATCCCCAAAGATCCAGAAGTGCTTTATTTGTACATCTTTTCTATTTCTGATGTTATTGACTTTATCACCTCACCCAGTTCACCTCCCACTCAGAATATAATTGTTCCCAATTGGTATTTGTATTTCTGTCCTGTCTAGTTTTAAAATGTCCATCTGCAGTCATTTCTGTTAAGAAACTATTTCATTGCCTGTTCATTGCAAGCAACACCTTGACAGTCCTTCTGTCAAGGTGTTGCTTGTAATATTCAACCCTTCCAAATTTAATCCTGATACTTTTAATTACATACTTGAGGTTATATCCTAACGTTTTTCTCCATTGGTGTACACACTATCAAATTTTGGCAGTTACCTTGTCCTATAGTCCTTTCTGTATTCGTCTGTTGGATTACAAAGACTTAAAATATAGATGTTTGGAATTTTGTTTTAATTTAACATGAACTCTGTAAGGTCTTACACTTTTCTCCTAAATCCTAAATGCATCATTTTATAAGCAGAATATGTAAATATAACAGTCACTGAACTCCTCATTCTCTTCCTGTCTTAGGTAAGAAGGTCTCCAGATACGAGGCACAGGCAATTGCTCAAAAGCTACCTACTAGAGAGAAGATCTGATGGTTTTTGTAAATTAAACCAAAGGGATATTAGCATTTCTACTGCTGTCAAACTACAAATTCAGATGTGGTTTGCTGTACAATAGAAAGCATTTTCTACAGGAAAAAGAGACTAGTCTTGAAGGTGAATCTTCTGCCTGGGTCTCGGGCAATATCAGTTTTGCTCCTGGCTGCATGGAATTTGTTTAGACAGGGTTTAAGAACAAGGCTTATTCTGACTAAAGATATGAATGAAACTAAATTCAGAAACTCGGGGTAGGAAAGTTGCCTGAATGATTTTGTTTGGTGTATAGGAATTAACAGTTATCTCATAGTCTGCAAGACAGCTGAATTCTGCTACAGCTAAGGAGTGGCAAGATAACTTTTATTAAGCTACTGAGGCAGTATTAGACCTTTAAATTACAGTACATTTCAAGTTTATCTAAAGTACCTGAAGACTTACTGCTCTCAACTGTCCATCTACATCTCTGCCAGAGAATACATATCCTGTGTAAATGGAAGATGTAGAAGCCTATTAGGTCTGCTACTCAGCTATCTTAGTTTGTAGCCAAGCAGTCCGTGGTAAAATGTGTTGATGGTGGTTGTGTGACAATGTTAGGCTGTGAATACCATTAGGTCATGCACTGTCCATCCTGTGCTATGGGTATCATAGCCTCATGTAGAAGGGGTAACAGAAAACTGGATAGGGGTGGTGATCTTCTCAGCCAGCAGCACTCTGTGACAGGGACTTTAAATCAGCTGCTTCATTTCTAGTTTAGGCATATGTGCTGGTTTTGGCTGGGATACAGTTAATTTTCTTCATAGTGGCTAGTATGGGGTTATGTTTTGGATTTGTGCTGAAAACAGTGTTGATAATACAGAGATGTTTTCATTATTGCTGAGCAGTTCTTACACCGTGGCCTTTTCTGCTTCTCACCCCACACCACGCCACCAGCGAGTAGGCTGGGAATGCACAAGAAGTTGGGAGGGGACACAGCTGGGACAGATGACCCCAACTGACCAAAGGGATATCCCATACCATATGACGTGATGTTTGGCATATAAATCTGGGGGAAGAAGAAGGAAGGGGGTGACATCTGGCATGATGGCATTTGTCTCCCCAAGTAACTGTTACATGTCATGGAGCCCTGCTTTCCTGGAGATGGCTGAACGCCTGCCTGCCGATGGGAAGTAGTGAATGAATTCCTTGCTTTGCTTTGCTTGTGTGAGCAGCTTTTGCTTTACCTATTAAACTGTCTTTATCTCAACCCATGAGTTTTCTCACTTT